GTGCTCAGCAGAGCGGGACAGCATTTCATGCAACTTAACAAGGCGCAGGTTCGGCCGCTTATAGAATAGTGTCATCTGGGCTGGGGCTCGTAAGCTCCTTCCACTTAACCGCATCCATTGCAGAGCGGCTCGAATCGTCGACGACTGTGTGCTTTCCGATCGGCTCGATTCACCGGCGCTGTGAAGAGATATTGCATCGCTTTGCATTTTCTTTCGCATATACCATGGGGAGTGCTCTGAGGAATTGTTTGGATTAATCCCAGCCACCAAATTTAGTGAACGTCCTACACGGCAAACGTCTCGATACCATCCACACCATCTGGATGCTTGGCGGTCCACCACTGTACGTTTCAAAAGGAGTTTTCTTTCGCGTACGACACTCTCTGTGGAATAGTTTACCACCAGCATTTTTTCCGGACCGATAGAACATAGGGACCTTCAAGAAAAGAGCTTACTTCTGTCTAAAGGGCCGGCAACGCACCTGCAATTCCTCTGGTGTTGCGGTTGATCATGGGCGGTGGTAGTCACTTAACATCAGGTGAGCCGCATGCTCGTTTGCCCCCTCTTCTATAAAAAAAGGTCGTCACTTCATCTAGTGAGGGTCGCCTAATTCAGCACGATTACAACGCATTTGAATTTCGGTTTTTAGTTGAGGTTGAGTCCATTCATTGATTACCTGCGTGTGTAACCATATCGGCACTCTTTCTAGTGGGACTCTGCGCGGCTACAGCGCATAATAGAGAGGCGGCAACATCTACCCCCAACAATGACATAGATTGCGTTTCTCTATAAGAAAACTGCACGCTAATCAACAAACGCTTTGTTTTACAAAAACCAAAAATTTTGCTTAAGCATCGCATTGTATATTATAGGCTATTACTTCTTTTTTATTTTTCATTTTTTTTCTCATATTTTACTACTGTATTCACCTCTACTAGCATTTTTGATGCTGTTTATCGTCGCCAATCTGGGAAACTGAAACTTTCCCGACTTAATATGAGTCTCAATACTTTTATCTCAATGGTCGTTTCCTAAGTCGTCTAAATATAAAGAGGTAGTGTTAATATATCATATTTCATAGCGTTAAAGAAAACTCGGATAACTCAGTCGGTAGAGCATTAAACTTTTGATCTAAGATTCACAACGAATAGGGAGTTTAAGCAACAGCAGTTTTATGTTTAGAGTATAATAACAGAATGCTTTTATATTTAAAAATGACAATTAAATAAATAAATTAAAATAAATTTTATAAATAATTTTTATTTCATTTCCAATTACACATGTATACATATATAGGAACAAATATGATTTTAATTAAATAAAGTAACAATACGTCTAATAAAAATAACATGGTATAATAAAATTAAAACAATATGCAGCTTAATAATATCGCATCTACAAAAGAAAAATTGAATCTACCTGAACTTGTTTGGCTACCTGTATTTCAAACCATCATTTAGTGGGTTTAATAATGTAGGACACTAGATAATATAAATAATTAAACTATAATATATAATAAATAAAATAACTAGATAACAATTATTTGTTACCTACAATTAAAACAAACTATTTTAATATGTGTTTTTAATAAGTTCATTCTTCTTTTGTCTACGGATTTTAAGTTAAATAGAAGTTAAATAGTTAAATAGATGTGTAGGAAACACCTTTAGAACTTCTCTCTGTGGATTTTCTAGTGGGAGCAATATTATTTTAGAAGCACCACCCCAGGAAGTAATGCCGTAAGGGAGTATGGTTTGACACAACGCTAAATAGACCTGTCTTATCAATTTGAAGTCAGTGTTGTTACGGAGGTGTTTAAAAATATATAAATTTAAATTTGTGTCAAGCGTGATACCTAGATATTTTATATTGTCTGTTTTGGCTGTGTCATCCATCCGCATACGACATTATGACATTATCATTTTAAAGTTGAACAATGCACAAGTCATTTATATATTAGGAACAATGTAGGCCTCAGGAAACTGTTCTGTGGGATTCTATACAAGCTGTTTTTTAATTCAGTACTTGTAATTCGTTTTCACCGATTTTTACACATTGAAAGCGATCACAGAGGTGATTCGAAAATAGTTGTAGTTGAGTTAGCCTTATGCCAAGTGTTTCAAGCTTTTGTAATAGTATAGGGTATGACATAGTATCAAATGCTTTGGCAAGGTCTAAAAATTATATAAAGGTCTAAAAATATATAAAATCCAATTGAGTTGCTAACCGTTGTCAAGATTACTTGTGACATAATCTGTTAATTGGTGCAAGACATCATTACATGATCTCTTAGACCTGAAGCCAAATTGTCCGTCTGATAGCAAATTGTTTGTCTCCTGTTGTTTTATTAACCTGGTATTAATAATATTATCAAAAAAAATATTATCATCAGCTTTGTGTATAGGAGAAACCACAGCTTTTTAAGCACTTTCGGGAAAATGCCTTTACATAGGCATAATTAAAAAATACGTGTTAATGGGGCGGCAAGTAAATGTTTAAAGCTTTTGAGTATGCTGTTAGGTATCCCATCCAACTGCACAATCTTCTCTTAAGCGAGTTATTTTACCTAAAATCTCATCAATGTCGGTATTTAACAATACAAAGAAATTCAATTTAGAAAAGGACGTGGGCTATAAAAATTGGATTTTGAATGTTGTTTAATTTAAAGTTAACTCTGCTATTTTTTACCAGCATTAAATTATGTTATTTACTTTATTAGTTCCTTCGTTTGGGCTTTTGTCTAATGATAGCAGAACAAGGGGTCTAAGGTTTTTTGAACTGAAGGTATTATTTTTAATGAACTTCCATACAAGTTTACTGCTGTTACCGGCCTTTTGTATAACATATTTATCATATTGTATTTGGGCCTTTTTAATAGTTTATTGCAAAAATTAAATTATCAGGAGAAAGTTTTAACTTTAAATATATTATAATAGTTAAGTTACAGTTTTATTATTGATGTATTATTCTTAATTGTGAAGAATTTATAAAGTAACTCAAAGACGTATTTGCATTGTCAGAGCGATAAATAAAGTCAAAATTAATGCTAAGGATGTCATTTTCAAGGTACGGTTAATTGTAATGTTAGTAAAATTGCTTGATGATCAGTAAGCAAGGAATTAGTAACTAATGTTAAAGAAGTTTTATCCGATTTAATTAAAAATGGTCTAAACACGAGCCGCTTTGATGTGTAGAGTGGTAATGTGTTGGTAGTAATCCATGAAAAGAGCAGATATTTATGTAGTTATGTGCGTAGTTGTCTGTTTTCCCAGGGGTGATGTTAATATTTATGTCACCGGTTAGGATTATATTTTTATAGGTACTAAGTGTGTTTAAGGTAATATTAAAGAACTCTAGAAATCTATCAATATTTTGAGAAGGAGGTCTGTGTATTGCAATAACAATCGTCTCGAAATTATTTAGAATCATTAACAAATTATTATCCTGGAATGTAGGTTCTGTGACAGTTACCTTTAAATTATTTTTAATATAGATTACTAAGCCATAATTTAGATTAATGTTTTTCTCGGTTTTGTGTAAATAATAGGTATCTAGAAGCGGCAGGTGGGGTGAGAAGTTTGACAGCTAACATTCTGTAAGGACAATAACATCACATTTTATATCCAGTCTATGCAACAAAACCTCGAACCCGGTATGTTCCGATTTATGCTTCTTATATTTTGTATAGGTAGGATTAACTAAATTTCATGACGAGGAAGGAAATTTGTACAGTCTTCAATATTACATGCTTCAGCGTCACACACAGAAAAGTTGTCTAGGTCATTGAGTAAATGATTCGTCATGATTAAGCTTACTCGTAAAGATAAACTAAAACAAGTGTTTGAGCTAAGTAAATAAAATAATACGTGGCGCTCTTAGGCGTCCTCATAGTATATGAAGTTGATATATTTGTCCTCTGAGAGTTTTCGTGCTGGACAGTTTTCATCATCAGTTTTGTCGTCACATTTTGCACGTCGCACAAACGGGGCCATGTGGTTGGTTTCAAATCGGAGTAGTTACACGTAGGTCTACTTTCCCGACAAAATTTGGCTGATTGACCAAACTACTGGCAATTGAAGCATCTTCTTACTATTATAAACTCTCTAACTGGGCCTGAGGTCCAATTTATATATATTCGTCCTTGATTGATAAGGGCCTTCCTGATGCTAGGTAACATATCGACAAGTAATAATTCTTTTGCAAGTAGGAAGGTTTTTCTAACCTGATTTATGGCTCAGTTTGACTGCTGCCAGGAAAGACTGAGTCTTTCCGTGCGTGGCATTAGGAAATTTATAAGCAATATTTTGTTCGAATATGCACTCGAACAGTTTATCAGTGAGGGCTACAGGGACCCCAACAATTGCAATCCTTGGCCGACGTTAAGTCGGCTCTTCCATGGTAAGGCCTGAAGATAGCTAGCTATAGATAGCTTCTTGGAGTTCTTTAATTTGTCAATATCTCCTTTTTTCTCAACACAACTCACAGTCTCCACACAACGAAATACTCAATTCAAACTCAAATAAATATATCAGAAGTCTGTCTGATTATGTAAAACTCTTTTATCTATTTGCAAGCCAATATAATTATAGGCTGTCAGGCCATTTTGTTCTTAGAGGTGACAACGTTTCTGTTCTCACTTAATATCTTCTTTTTTGTTTGAAGTTGATTTCGGATATTCATGAACTATAAGTTTGTTTGTTACTGCAATATTACGAAAAAGAAAATATTTATCATTAAAATCGGGAGGAAAGAAAGCTTTATGTATTTTTTATAAAAAGTTAAATAATTTATCCCTTTTAAGTGGCCTAAGTAACATCAAAAGTTGAAGGTAACAACTACAAATGTTGCCTTAATAATTTATTTTATAATTTTCATCCTATAATTTTCTAACTAATAAAAACTTTTTTTTTAATATGAGACCACCCCTGAAGTATAGTAAAAAAAACAAAATTTCAGTTCTTGATAAATATATTTATAAGTCCATAACAAAATCCAAAGTTCTAATAGTTGTAACCGTTTCTAGAGGTAAAGCTTGACTGGCGGTTCCTGCTACCAAACCGAGCTTCTTCGTTTTGGTTTCCTGAAACCCTCTCTTTGGATATAGGTGGCAAATAGGCTTTAGTAACACCATCGTCGATTCCCTGACTTGGGTTTCTAAGGTTATTTGCATTTCTTACTCCGGCTCCCTGCCGACTGAATACTTCAGGATTAAAAGCAGAATTAATTACAATCGCGTCATCGTCATTTATTTTGTTGACGTTGTTTCCGTTTGTATTACTGTTGCCAAAAACTGGTGTATCGTATTTGCTGCCTCCATTGGAATACTTGAATTCATCGTAGGACCCTGCAAATTGATCAGGCATGGTTTGGAAATATAAAGACAGGTACCTAAAAAGTATGAAAAAGGGGGAGGATGTACTTCAGACCGAATACTGGTTATGGCGTCCAATCTCTACAAAGACTAGCCGCCTCCGAAGAACTACTTTATAGTGCCCGAGTGTATATACAACTAGAAGTGCATTCTCTATTCCCTCACTTTCATTATCCGATAAGACGGCAAGCCGACACGATCGGAGAGAGATCAGAGATTGTTTGCCCCCTCTGCTATAAAAAAGAAAAAGGTGCTAAACTAACGCCTTTACGTGTTTTCCGCTTCCCGAGGTACGAAACACCACCAACTTCCTGAGTCGGAGCTGCCACTATGAATTTCTTAAGAGAAACACCCAATAACTGATATTTGGAGCGCCGAATTGAAGTCTCTTCTGACTATCAGTTAATTAATGTTCATAGAGACTGACCCCGGTGACCGAAATTCAGACTGGAGGATATTATTATTAATGCAACTACTGAAGCTTCTCTCTACTACTGACATTTAACATAATATTCCAAGAAATTTGTTACGTGGTTTTTGGAAACATAACGTAACGAAGGAGATGTCAACCTAGTGATTTCATTTACTAGTTTTTTTTTTTAAACTTGTATTAATGTGATGTTATCTAGTGATGTCAAGTTACAAACGTAACATTAACATAGGACTAAATTTTTTTAACTACGATTTTTATAAAATCAAAACATGCATCGATTAACTATAATGAATATTAATAATGCAGGCGTGTACATTTGATAGTGTGCAATTGTTTAAAATATTTGTAGTTATTGATTTTTCTGTCAAGAATTTCTCAATAGCAACCGGATCACACGAAGCTGGCGATGTTTCATTCTCATAGATATATATCTCGAGAGAGAAGCACGAAAATCCGTGCGTTGAACTGTGAGATTGAGGAAATGGAAAGTGTATCTGCATTTCAATTCAGTGTTATCGTGCACTGTAACCCTGTACAGTGCAAATGACTAGTCTCCGCTGAGAGCTGGCCATATTGCCTAAAATGCGACATATGTTATATACGAAATTCCTAAGGACATTATTCGTTTCGGTTTTTTTTTTTCATTTAGTTACTCCATTGTGATATTACTTATAAAAGACACGTGGTCCAAGATATCATTAATTTATCGTTCGATTCGAAACTAGTTATTCGTCTACATGGCCCGTAGAGAATTTTAGTAAATAGCGGCGTGAAATAATTGCCATACCTTAGATAACCTACCTACCCGCCCATAGCCCGCAGGTGTGTCTCTTCAAGAAAACTAATGTTAATAAGAATAAAAAAGGAAAGTATGTGAAAAATTAAGTATTATAATATTCTGTACCATCATCGTAAATTCCTGCAGCCTCATCACGGGCGTTTTGTTCTAGAGCCAATAAAATCTCCTCTGGAATAGGAGGAGATGTAGGGAGGTGGTCACCTTCCGGTACAAAACCGTTCTGGCCAGCTGTATATCTGTGAAAAATAACTTATTGTTAATTTAGTTTCAAATTTTCATCATCGTTAACTGTATCATAATTCATAACTCTAATAGTGAACATTGTACAACGGCCCATTAAAAGTTGTTTTTAGAGTTTTCATATGAAAATAATAAAATGATTATCTTAGATTTCAATATTGTTACTCTATACTCTGAAAATTTTCTCATAAAAAATCAGAGAAATTGAGAATTGAAGAGTACTGTAATCATGGTGATTCTAATAAGTCCAAATTTAATTTTTACAAAACAATTTAGGGCTATACTGCCAGGTCGGTGTGCTATTTCATATGATTGCTCAACTGTAACACATGCTTGAGCTAATTAATACTAATATTGTACCATAACTACCAGTAAGTCACGTTTTTAAACATTACTCTTAAGTTTTAACGGTTCATCGTGAAAGCAAATAAAAATATATTTTCTTTAATCCGAAGTGCTTTCAGTAATATAAGTATTATAATTTTACAACGAATTTTAAATGTGCAAGCATTAAAATTTAATATGACCCTCTATAAGTTCCAAGAACGTTGTATGCTTGTCGCCATTTCAGATCCTATCTCTTTTCACAGTGAAGCAAACAACTTCAAAAGTCGTTTTTTTTTTTTTCTTTTTTTAAATATACTAGCAACGCTATTAAAATTACTAATATTCCGTTTTAACCACTCCATATAAGCATAAAATGCTTGTGTTAGAAGTGATTCACGACAGTAGTCGGATACCAGATTCGAACGTCGGGGGTTCTTTGAGTTCACGGTCCGCACTCTACCTATAGACTACTGTTGCTTTGACGTTTGAACTTTTACAACTCAAGAACTATAATACGTATAAATTTCATTAGAATAAAATTTATGGGATAAAATGTTGATATTTCAGGTATTAAAGGAAACCCTCTAAGGTGTAAAAAATTACAATTGTGGGTTTAACATATTTTTAGTTATGGGAAGTTCAAATGTTTCGTGTAAAGATACACACTGTCGGTGCGTCACTCTTTTATTTTCTGAAACAATCTCATGTTACTTTGGTAGCAATGAAATTATGCAGTATTTGTAGCTGTATGAAGGTGAAAGAGGCTAGAGCGGTACGTTAGGATCGTGCCAAACGGAAGTTCGTAATATTTACCTACCCTCTGGGTGACAAGCGTGAGTGTTTATGTATGTATTATTTCAATAAATATTCTTGTATGTTATTTGTATTCAATAAATATTATTATGTTCTAATTTTATTTCTATATAGTAAGTATTAAAGGCAATGATGATAAATGACAACGAAACAAAAAGAAAGACGACTTTGTATAAGAACAGTAAAATATATTAACTTATCTGAGAAACTTGTTTACTTTTGGTACGAACATATACCACTTTTTTACCAAAAATAACAATAGTCTCAGTGAAGGTAAGTACAAAATAAGCATCTCACATATCAATAACAAATTTGGATATCATGCGAAGATATAAATTATTTTATCAAAAATATGTATAAATAACCCATAAATCTATAATATAAATAATAAACGAATACAGCTTTTACTACGAAAACCTAAAAGTTGCCCATCAACTACTCACCTGACGCTATATACTTGTCCGTCTTCACCGGTGTAGGAATAACTGCCTTGCGCTTCGACACCATTTGTAGCTACACCATTTTCTTCTGCGTATATACCATTTTCAGTTTCAAAAGCATATGAGTAGGTTAGTCCATCATTATTATTGAACTGTCGAAGAATTTCCGCGTTCCTTTCTAAAGCAGCACGGGGACGTTCAGAGCGGGTTTCATAATTTTCAAAGGCATTTATTTGATTATGTAGAAAGCTATTACCATTTTTGACAAAACCGTTACCGTCTCGGTTGTACTCGTTCTGTGCAAGGAGATCTTTATTAGGGAAAGCATCATTTATATGGCTGGAGAATCCATTTAAATTAGACGTAGTACTACTTGAAATAGGCGGTTGAAGAAAGTCGCTCGAACCCCCCGATGTCTGGGCATAGTTTGGTGGCAGATAAGCCTTGTTTAGCTTCGCTGCGCTTGAGCAAGCAATAAAAACTGTTAGAATAATCTGAAATTACGACAATATTTTACTAGTTTACGTAAAAAATTACAAAGAAAACACGCCACGTTATAAAAAGAGAATTGCAATAAAATAATAAACTTAGAGATACTACAATATTAAAATAACAACAAAAGCAAAAGAGAGATGTAAATAGATTTACGGATTTGGACTAATTTTGACGAATGTATTTATAGGTTTGTTTTGGGAGAAGAGTTTGTTAATAACAAATGTAGAACAGTGTGTTTATAGGAAGTATAATAAATATTCTGCTCCCTATATTATTTGATCTCCTTATAATACTTAAAATTATAAAAGGCAAAGGATGCGTCCTTCATGATCTCAAATTAAAATAATAGATTATTAAAAGATATCTCAAAGCCAAAAATTCTTTTTAAATGTTTCTTTGAGTTCTTCTCTTCTGAGTTGATGTTCTTGATCAAATTATTCCAAGCGCTTTACTTATTTAGTTTTAATTGCAGACAGATAGTAAACAAAATAAACAAACGCGTTACCAATTTCATTGCGGATTTTTTTCACACGATCTATCCCGCGAATGTCAGGCATGTAACTGATGCGATTATAGATCTCGGTAGAATATTTATACTGATGCTTAAACTGATTATTATCGATCTACTTTAATATAGAAGATGATCACTTGAACCAAAAGTCGTGGTCGAGTGTTGCCTAATCAATACATATTACACTAGTACGTACGTCTAATTGTTGCGAACGGTCTCATGCAATAAGTGGCAATTTGTTAACAGCTTATCACTAAAATTTTGTACGTTTTAATACGCGCATACGTTAAATAAAATATAAGAAAACATTAAAACTGTTTCAGTTGCCTGTATTTAGCAACATTATTTTAAAAATGAATGCTCTATGCCTTAACATGAAGGGGTATCGAGGGCGAATATAATAAGAGGCAGATTGCTTGCCTTTTCCTCAACTCACTGCAAACTACAAATCACTGGCGCTTGCACCTTTGTCGACAGCTGGAATGCACCATCGACCGCTGATATGTGTGGTCGTAGGGGGATGGTGTGTCTCGCTATCAAAGTTCTCTAACAATTCGTTATATATGGAACAGCACACAGCAACACAGGGAGCGTCGGCCGCTCCTCGCTCTGAACAAATTACCCTGTGGGAGATCTCAGAGAGAAGTCAAACTGGCTAAGCCCACTGTCTTTTTATACCGTGTAGTGGCGGTGTAAGAATATCCACTACCCCATATAATCCCTTGGGTGATGTAAGAGGCGACACAGGGAAACATATCAGTAGATGGGCAGCAGCATCTTCCTAATAACCACTTGAAATAATTATTACCTGTTATGTAATGGAATGTGGTAAGCATCAAGAACATCTCTTGATCATCGAAATCTACGGAATAACAATTTTGTATATTCCTGGTATGAAACATGCTGTTGGAAAGCAATAGCAAGATTTCGAAATTCCAGTGATTTCCAGTCCATATAACAAACATGGCGATGATGACAAAACTGTTACTATTTATGTGAGAAGTTTGAAGTCGACGGATGTAGGTGGCTGAGAACCGTGTCCTGTAGCATTTCTTGGGGTAGGCGTGGACTTGTGAGTTATCATAATGATGACGATGATGATAATGAAAGCTTTACATAAGTAATATGTTTAGGTGTGATCTTGATTAAATCAATCAAGGCTAAGTAAGATTGATCATTTCATTCAAAGCGTTGATTGTCAATATCGTTTTAATTTGACCGAGTCATTCTTGCATGACGTAATAACTCGATACAAAACCCTATTTCAATGAGCGTATTAAGCTCGTATGGGCAGTAGTTGGTCCACGTCTCATCAAATTCCGACCTTGCAACTGATACATTCCAATCCTTAGCTAATGACTCGAAAAAGTTATGAATATGAAATATTTTTCAACTTAAAAAAGCGACGCTTCTCCGCTTAAAAGATTAAAGAAATGCAAAGATAAAGGAAGGATTTCAACATTCCATGTTCATATAACTTACACATCATAATATTTTGCTTTTATATTTAAATCGGTCTATATTTCGTTTTCAATTTAGTGTAAGTTTATATTTTTTAAGATTATAATTAAAGATTAATAATGGAGTGACGTAATGCTTCCTTGCCCTAAAACCCCTCAAAAATTAGAGGCCTGTGACCTAGCAGAGGTCGTCACTAACTTTACTTGAATGAAGTGACGACTTGTTAAGACATGTAATTTTACATGCGTAATAAATCTAGAATCCCACATTTAATAAATGAACTTATGAGTTATTATGTATTTAAAACCTCAAAAGATAAAATGATGTTCAATTCAATGATATTTCATCAAAACATTAATGTCAAAAAGAGTTAAGTGTAATGCCAACTACGTTTAGGGTAGTCGGTTTCGCCGGTAAATGAGTTGTAATCAGAACGGGCGTCAAGCTTGATTGCTTAATATCGTATTTTAAATCAATTGAAGACTATTGTACATTTTAAATCTATGATTTAACTGGCGGCGGTAGTCACTTTACAAGTAAGGAACCACTGTGGAGTTTGTTCAGATCTCAATTCTTTGACCGGTGAGGCCGACAATCCCAAACGTACCGCTTCTAACGAACTTGTTACCATGTTCACTTTTATGTTATGTTGGGATCAAAAAGAAATCAACACTTCATAGCATATTTGTGGTGAAACCACACCGCTCAATTTCAATAGTGTCCAAAAATCTTGGTGAGACAGCCCTGAGTATAAACGAATAAAGTTAAATTTATACGAAGAGAAAAACAAACAAGTAATTTTTCACTCGAAACCACCAAGCTAGGAATGCGTGACCGTCTGGCATACATGCCTCTCATTTCATGTAAAAAAAAATTATTTAAAAAATTACAAAGATATAGTGTCAAAAATAATGGCCTCCATTACATGGCAGTGTAAGTCTTCTAAAAGATGGCAGTATGAAGATGTAAATATTATTTCGTAAACATCAGGTCCAATATGGTAAACCGGTGACAGAAAGTATTGTAATCGGTTTTTTTTTTTTCATATAAAAGGGGGCAAACGAGCATGCGGCTCACCTGATGGTAAGTGTCGACCGTTGCCCATGAATAACTGCAACACCGGGGAAATTGCATGTGCTTTGCCGACCTTTAAAAAGAGTAAGCTTTTCTTAAAGGTCCCTAAGTCGCATACGTCCGGAATAATTGCCGGTGGTAAAAGATGGTGGGGATGGTACAGTGATTTTGTGAAAATGTGAAATCCGAACAAATCCTCAGCGCACTCCTCGTGGTAACTACGATAATCGTTATTGTCCACGATTGCCCCGTGGTATAGTAACCGCATTATGAGAGGTCTCGCACCTTAAACGCCACGCCACGTCTCTAGTCTGGATGTTCTACAATTTAGCTTCTTAGACCAATAAAAAATAGACAAAACCCTATGTATATTAATGTTGAATATCGTATAAGGTGTAATTGAGTACGTGCATGCCTTTCTTACAATAAATTGAACAAAATTGGAGTTAACTGAAATGTGCGTATCACGTCATTTTGGGACAGAAATACCTAAAAATAACGACTTGTATAATATGTTCTTTATTACACACATACGTATGTAGGTTTTAATTTCTTAAAATTAAACTAAACTACCTGACGAATTTTGCGCTTTTGCGCATGTGCGTAAAAAGGTGGAGCTCGTGGCCTATCCCGTACACAGTTCAAACCGCCCACCGCCCGATTATTTTATTCTCCCAAGAATCAATGTTGTTAGTGTTTTTTTTCCTTTTTAGTTCTTGAAAAGTAGAGCTCATAAAAAACGAAATTTTGAAAAGCTGTTGTTGATTCTTGTTAGAACAATATTTTTGCAGTTAATTGAATTTTAATTGCTTTATAACTTTAAATCAGCAGTGTAATTAGTGGGACGATACATATGGCAACAGCTTTTTTATTAGTTTAAGGTATTGAAATCGCATACGGAACCTCAATTATTCGGGTAGTAACTTCGGAAATGTTAATTGATAGCAAATAATAAGAAATTAATCAATTTCACTGATATATTTTTAAATTTTAATGTAGCATTGATAATTACAATAAAAATTGGATCTTAGAAAATATGTATTTCGGTGTCTGACAGTTGAACCTATAAAGAATTTTATAGAATAGAATGAAATGATTTATATTCAATGTAGATAATTGATTCAAAATTGAAAGAACCGAATCGAAACGAATGAAACAAATGATCAGTTTTTTAAGTTTCAGTTTATTGAACAAAATTGTTGTACAATATAAATAACAATATTGGCGAGCAAAAGAATAATCTAGTCACCAACTACAAATGGTATTTTATGTAAGAGCTCCGTCTGGATTAGTACAGCCAGACTATTAAAATTTTTTTTTATTTATTTTATTTACTTAAAAACGTCGTGTTAAAACAATAAAAAATTATGTTAAAACAATAAAGGTTACAAGGTATTTTCTGGCAGTCAGTGGATGCAGTGCATAAGTTAATTTGTAAACAAATAATTAGTGCTTGTAAAAATTAAAGTGGTTAATAACAATTAAATTTGCTTCAAACAATTACAATTGATATTTGTCTCTCAAACGGATGTCGGCTGACACAGTATACATGACAGATATATTAGTAGAAGTGGTAATAGTAGCTATAAAATTATTATATTGTTGGTAATAAGCAATTGGTGATGTAATTATTATACAATGGGTGCGTTTGGCAGAAAAAAGCGCTAGCAAGCGCTTATAAGCGCTAAAATAGTTTTCGGCCAGGACACGATTGCTACTTCAGTAGCGCTGACACAATCCGCCATTTTGCTTATTTAATTTATTTGTTTTGAAGTAGAGTTTATAATTTGTTTTGTGCAATATTAGTTTTAAGTAATATAATGTTATGAATAGACATATACATGTTATTAAAAATTCATGATTGGTAAGTTTTTAATATGAATACTTTACAAACATATATTTAAATTAGGTTAAGTTCCACGGTTAAAACTAACATCGTGTCCTGGAGGAAAATAGCTACTTACGATTTGACAGCGCTTACCGCTTACGATCGCCATTTTGCTTACAAGCGCTTGCTAGCGCTTTTTTCTGCCAAACGCACCCAATCATTAATATCTATATGTCTTTTCTTCTTTTTTACTCACAATATGTTTATGTGCGGTAGTTGTATCAGTTGTAGTTTTAGTAATAATTGTACGTGTTGTTGCATTATCGTCCGTATGTCATGCTCACTAGAGTGCGCACTGAAAACAATTAGCGATGTTATTATTATAAAACCTATTTTCTCTTTTACTCACAATATGTTTATGTGCGGTAGTTGTATCAGTTGTAGTTTTAGTAATAATTGTACGTGTTGTTGCATTATCGTCCGTATGTTATGCTCACTAGAGGGCGCACTGAAAACAATTAGCGATGTTATTATTATAAAACCTATTTTCTCTTTTACTCACAATATGTTTATGTGCGGTAGTTGTATCAGTTGTAGTTTTAGTAATAATTGTACGTGTTGTTGCATTATCGTCCGTATGTTATGCTCACTAGAGGGCGCACTGAAAACAATTAGCGATGTTATTATTATAAAACCTATTTTCTCTTTTACTCACAATATGTTTATGTGCGGTAGTTGTATCAGTTGTAGTTTTAGTAATAATTGTACGTGTTGTTGCATTATCGTCCGTATGTTATGCTCACTAGAGGGCGCACTGAAAACAATTAGCGATGTTATTATTATAAAACCTATTTTCTCTTTTACTCACAATATGTTTATGTGCGGTAGTTGTATCAGTTGTAGTTTTAGTAATAATTGTACGTGTTGTTGCATTATCGTCCGTATGTAACTCACGAGAGGGCGCACTGAAAACCAGTTCCGTGAATAACACCATGAATTTATACTGAGTGGTAGTCCTTTTAATACTAAAGCCGCACACATAATAAATATGGAGTGTAGAAGTAAGGAGTACTAACTCCCATAGTAGAATAGTTGAAAAAATATCCATCTGTAAGCGGTAAATAACAGTTCAAAAACTTTCCACAACAGCGCTGGAGTAGCTACTGGGATGAAATGATGAACTTAGCAGTTGTCGACGGTTAGAAGTGTGCTGCTAAACTGCTCAGTAGCTATAAAATCTAAAATAATTTTATTTAGTAAATATAACCTCGAAAAATTCTTCTATCCCACTATTATTTTTCGCCACGTTCTTTAAAATTTAACCCGTACGATATAGTGGCGCCAACCTTATTTAACGGTTTTCTATGGACCCTTTTTAATACACAGTCCGTACTGCTATTATTATTGCTTATTTCTACACTCCATAATAATAAAACTTTGATTGAATTGCTTCCATTTTATTTAGGATTTAGTTTTCTGTTAGTCTGTAGTTAAAAGTTTGTGTGTTTAATGTATAATATCTTGTAACATGTGCGTTGTTTTTCTTTTTTTCTTTCTATATAATCTGGTCCAACTACTCCGTATATATATATATATATATATATATATATATATATATATATATATGTAAATGAACGATATCAGGAGAGCTATAGGAATGACTTTTTAAGGAGGAAAGAAGTGAGCTTTTAAAAGCTCACTTGTAAATACAAGTATTTTACACAAATCAATAGATTCCGCACTTCTAATGTGCAGTGATAGGGAGTTCCAGAGCCAAAAACCTTCAATAGAAAAAGGTTTAGCATAGAATAAAGTGTATTGGGGACGGAAATTTACGGTGTGAGGTAGTTACACCGCCTCTACGCTGTCAAATATATAGTTAATTATGTCTATCTGATATATAAATGGTTATACATGTCTTAATAGTAAACAAGATTCTTAGCTCAATCGAGTACAGGTACTACATATAGACACTTGAATTTTATTTATATGTATAGAAAATCTCTCATTCCATTCAACGATCAACTTTAATGTGTTGCCTACACAACAATAACCCTAAACATAAACTAGAAAAGCTAATGGCCGAGCTTTTAATTGACGTATCAAAATTGGTATTGTTGATCGAAGTATCAAAATAAATGAGTCACAAAGTGATATCTATTATTCAAATAACCCCTCTATTATGGGATAGGAATTAGCATGTTGTAATTTTCATATAACGTAATAAAGAACATCGTAATTTGTATTTATAATTCCCAATGTATATGTCGATGACAATTTCTTTGTTAGAAATGCGTTGATGTCATCTATAGATGTATTGTTTAAAAGTGTCGCCTTAAAACCTCCCACTCCAGGATAGCCCTCCTCTCATAACAGAGTAATGGTATCAGTTAGTCTAACAGACTGTATGGTGGTGGTTGTTAGACTTTTATATATCTTTAAAATAAAATAATATTGTAAGCATGTCGCTTGATACCTTTATTTTCTAAAATATCGGTGACAAATGAGCACACAGTTAACAAACATATAACACGACTTATATTTTACAAACATGTACTTAATGTATTTTTATGTACTTGTTCTTTTACGTTGTAAGAAAATTATTGGTAAATGAAATATAAATCTTAAAAACAAATGTTGTCTTTTATTTTCAAACTCCGATTCATAATAAAAACTCAACTTTATTGTGTTGCCTACACAACAATAACCATCTCGTTATCACTAGAAAA